GCGACATCGACAACGTCCTGACACCGTCGCAGTTCCTCTCCATCAGGACATCAACCGCCCACCCGCCGTTGGTACAGCCAGATGATGCCAGTGACCCTGACTATCTACCCGGCAACCAATCTGCTGCAACGGACCTCCTCGACAAATGGAAGAAGGGTGACAGGCTGCTAAATCAGTTTTGGCAGCAATGGAGAGACGACTATTTGTCAAGCTTGCGCGAACGCACCCAACGGCAACACCACCAGAGTCGCTCTTCCAAGGTCGAGCCTAGAATTCAGTCGGTAGTGCTCATTGGCGACAATGCGCCCAGAGCAACGTGGAAATTAGCACGTATCAAGAAGCTGCACGTTGGTCCCGATGGATTGGTGCGCTCTGCCACAGTTTCGACAGCCGATGGAACTGAGCTACACCGACCCCTGCAACTTCTGTATCCACTTGAGTTTGACGACGAATGTCAGCCAACCGCTTCAACTCCCGCGCTTGACACTCATCAAGATTCAACACCTGCTGCTCACCCCAGTGACCTTGAAACACCAGCTAAGCGCCCCCCTCGTGCGGCAGCAGTGCGTCAACGTCAGGCCCTTGGCCAACTCATCCAGAATGATCTTCTTTGACATCCTGGCCCCGGAGTGTCGCGAATGGCACCACCATTCGCGAATCCTTCTTGTACAGTACTATAGTTGTAATATATTCAGCCGCTTATGTCTATCTAACTCCCATATACTTCAAAGTAGGATCCGTGCCCTTTATGGATCCACGCCCTGTATGGATCTGCGCCCTGTATGGTTCTGTGTCCGTTATGTCTAGATTCCATTATCGGACCTATGCACGCTCGTACGTATGTTTGTACATACGTACATGTCTCACTTATAGTGCTCTAAATCTAAACATAGATAAAACCCACATTCGAGCATTCCGTAACTATTCAGCCTGTACTAGGCACTTGTTTATGGTGTCTCTTCCATGCGCGATCTTCATACGCACTGTCTGTGTCGTTGTGCTAAGAACAGTTACATTGCCACGGAAGCTAGTTACGTTACCTTCAGCATTGACTTCCGTGCACGCTGCTCTGCATACTTCACGCCTACACTTCGAATACAGAAACGTAGTTTGTAACCCCTTTACCCCCTTTTGGTGTATTCTATTTGTTGTATTGCTGCGCGCACACATTTCAGCCCGCGCGCATGCTTTGGTCGTTTGTGTATTTGGTGTATTGCTGCGCATACACATTACCGCCGGCGCATACACATTACTGCCTGCGCGCACGCTTTGGTTTAGCTGTGGTATACAGCCACTTTCTTTATTCTTTCCTTTAGACCTCATGGTGGTCGCCACGTAGTTTGGTTTGTCCGCAACCAGCAATTACAGCAGTCAACAGTATACCAGTGTTCTTGTAGCCGATATGCTCTCCCAATCAAAATCAGTTTGACATTATAACGTCTCGGCTACAAACTTTGAAGCCAATACGCCAACAATTCTCTTAGCCGATTTTCCAATATAATTATTCCAATTCTGCAGCCGAATCTGATGTATTTTGAGCTTAGCGAAAAGCCGCAAAGGCGAAAAAAGGAAGAAGAAAAACGGGCAGCGATTTAGGGAAAGCCTAAGTAGGGGAGGGGAGGGGGACATGGCGAACAGTTACCCTGTATCCCATTTTTCCCCTTTCCAGTATAGTCTGGGTTTAGTGCTAGGCTAGACCTCTCTACAAAGCAGTGTACAACTACCGGCAGCTAGCATTGCTTTTGGCCGGAAATTTTTGGTGACGACTGTAGTAAAAGTGACTTTTGACTGCATTTTCGTTGAATTGCATGAAAACATGAAATCGGAAAATGACTGGGGGGGGGGGGGGGGGCACTTTTTCAGAGTAGGGGGCTTTTGTTAGATCACTCCAACATGTACCAGCAGGCTTGTTAGGTACAAAATTTCGTTTTGGGTCGAGGTCTGTCACCCCCAACGCTCAGAAAAACACTAGTTTGGTACAAACTTTAGTTATTTCGTGCCCCCTTAGGGGTCGTCCGCAATTATCGAAAGTTTTTTCCAATCCGTAGTAGCTTCGAAAGTGGGTGGGTGGGTCAAGGCCAGTTACGGATTGAAAAACTTCCGAAATGACACGTGCGCGTGCCACGTGTACGTCTACGTGTAGCCCCTGTTTTCCACGCACGGCTGCGCGCGAACTGTCTACTACAAATATTTTTGTAGTTCTGGCAGTTTCTGCGCCCCCGCGCGCGCTTCCTTGGCTGCTCCTAGATCCTGGGCCGGGGATCATAAAGTTCGGCGCATTCGACGGCGAGTCGACACTTTCTATTTTTGAGTTTCACTGTCTCCTTCGTCCAGAGTACCGTCTTCCATGCACTCCTTTGAAGTCCTTCCGTCTAGCGCTGGCGCTGACGACTGTTATTGACTATGTCCAGACAGGCGACGTTGTTTGGAAAGGCGGTGAAGAAGCAGCCCTTTTTCAAAACCGCTGGTGACTCTGATTATTACAGAACAATAAATTGCTTGTGGCAGTTGTCCAAGACGACGAACAAGGATGTATTCTTTGCCGAAGCGAAAAAGGACTGATTGAGTTTGTTCCATATGTGTTGGGTTGTGTGTCCATCAATAATATTTTATTACGGACTGGGGGGGTGGGTGGGTGGGTGAGGAAAAATTTGAAGCTACTACGGATTGGAAAAAACATTCGATAATTGCGGACGACCCCTTACGAATATAGGGAAAATAAATTTCAAACGAAAGTTTGTATTTCTACAGTACTCAGTAGTATAGGTGGTGAGATCAGGACTCCCTGGTCTACATGTGTGAACTGTGCCTGTGGATCACTGGATGGCTATGGAAACAATACATTCATGGGTTTGTGTGACTGATTCTTTGTAGTCATATGTCAGATACTCATATCATGAAGGTTCCATGATTTGAAAGCAAAACGACAAATTACTCACCGGCAAAATACTGTTGAACATTGTCAGGAAACCTTTGATCTCTTCGTGTGCCTGCTAGGCTGACGGTCGGTCCCCGGGACGGTTAGAGAGGCAGCGGCGTATCAATGGCTTCAATGGATGTTCATCCGGCAAACGTGCTAGGTAGCGTGCTCTGCGTGTCGTCTCCGGAATCACTTCTTGAACTTCTTGGCCCCGCTCTCGCACGACGACGAACTGTGGCGCTGCAACCACGTCCATGCCAGGCATAACTCCTGTTAGAACGCTCAGCATCATTACACCCAGCGAAAACATGTCTAAGGGACGATCGTAATCCGGAGCCTCGCTCAAAGCCTCAGGTGCCATAAATGGCAGTGTACCTGGGCAGCGAGTCATCTCCATGGCCGATCGGACTTGGTGCGGTTGTTGTCGAGGTGAAGTCAAGCGCACAAATTTAGCAACACCAAAGTCACTGACTTTGGCTGTGCCATTTTTCACGAGCACATTCTTGGGCGCTAGATCGCGATGAATGATTCCGAAAGAATGCAGGTAGCGAAGTCCTGCACTTGCGTCGCAGAGGTACGACACGAGCTTAGGAGTATCTTCTCTGCCATCTCCGATGCTAACGTCTTCTAGAGACGCCGACAACAACTCCAGGGCCAACGCAGCATTCCCTCTTACCCGAGCTAGTCCTATCAGTTGACATAAATTCGGGTGGTGCGTCCTACTAAGACGAAACACCTCTTGACCAAATGCTCTGAGTTTACGCTCTCTGTCTTGAACACCTGGCTCAACCAACACAGGATGTAACACTTTGAGAGCAATATCGATACCTTGCCAGTTGACCTTGTAAACCACTGCATCTGCTCCCCGGCCGATTTCGTCTTCGTCTCTCACCTGAACGTCACCTAGGAACGTGATGTGCTGGTGTGTCAGCCCTAGGTCATCAAGCAACGCCTGACCGTCGCGATTCATCGCTACGACTTTGTGGACGACAGTCACAAGTCTTTAGTCAGTCCGTGTTCATGTGTGATAAGAAAAAAATTCAAACGAAAAGCCTCCTGGCTTCCCTCATATCACTAACTCAGCCGCTACATAATAATGCTCAACAGCCTTTCGTTGCTTCTCTATTAGGTACTCAGTATCGGATCGCGAATGACTGTTGGGACATTCTTCCAAAACATGACGTCACAGAATTCGTAAAAAAAAGACAACTTTTGTCGCAAGCGGCTAGCCTGTCGCGCTCGCGAGACTCATCTTGGGCGCGCTCGAGCTGCGAAGCGCGACACACGAGCGCGACCCAAACTGTGTCACGTGTGTGTCGAATCTGACCGTCATTAGAGAGGTTTTGCAGAGCGAACGTTCGCGCGAATTTTCGTTTGACGTCACGAAAAGCGAAACTTCGTGCGAACGTTCGCAGTTTTGAACGCGAAAGTTGCAGGAAACGCGAAACAAACTTTCGCAGTAATTTTCGCTCTTTGTGGACCGCTGGTCAGCCTGGCCTGCGGCCTGGTGCACGGTGATCTTCATCATGTTTGTGCTTTATCTCTACTCTTCAAAGTCTCTTGGCTTGGTCCGCGAGTGCTAGCTTTCCTATACTTGTGGCAGCCCGTGTTGCTTCATCTCCAGAACCATCTCCGATCTCCTGCTTGCTCGTCTTCTCACTGCTCAGAGTCGGTTACATCAATGATGCCTTTTGAATCTCACGTGTTGATGCACAAGATTACGGCACAAGCCAACCCGACCCGTTTGTCTGTGGTCTCCGGCCATGGACAACGTAGTCAAAGAGCTCTCGTCTCAGGCCGTGACTCAGGGTACCTGGTGCGCGTGCCGCCACTCGCAACAAACAAATAATCGGATGGAGACGACTTCTCAAAAACAAGCGAGTGCACACGAACATTTCTTGGAGCGAGATACATGCAAACTTTCGCAGTAATTTTCGCTCTTTGTGGATTGTTCGTGCACGGTGAGCCACCCTCAGTCCTCATGTTTGTGCTTGATCTATACTCTTGGCTTGGTCCGCGGGTGCTAGCTAGGCTGTACTTGTGGCGGCCCGTGTTGCTTCATCTCCGGGACCATCTCCTGCCTGCTCGTCTTCTCACTGCTCAGAGTCGGTTACATCAACGATGCCATAGATGCCTCTTTGAATTTCAGGTGTTGGTGCGCCAGATTACGGCACAAGCCAACCCGTTTGTGACTGTGGGTCTCCGGCCATGGACAAGGTAGTCAAGGAGCTCTCGTCTCAGGCCGTGACTCTAGGTGCCACCACTCGCAACAACAAAAATAATCGGATGAAGACCACTCACTGCACTTCTCAAACAAGCGAGTGCACGCGAAAATTTCTTGGAGCGAAAAACATGCAAAACACAAATTTCGCGCGAACGTTCGCAATAGTTTTCGCAACCCGGAACGCGAAAATCATTGCGAACGTTCGCTCTGCAAAACCTCTCTATTATGATCGCCTTCGATTATTTATTTTCGTTCTACTCGACAATTCCAAAAATCAGTGCCATTGGCTTTAGCTTTGCCCTTGAACTTGAAATCTCGTGCCTTATTCTTTCCTGGGGACTGGTGTTGGATATTGAACGGGCGGAGTTACCGCCGGGATGATGGATGAAGGAGATGATGGCCTAAACTTGGCTGCGCGCATTCTCATTTTCGCGTGGCCTGCCACTAGTGTTTCGCAGATTCACAAAGGGTGTCACAGGCATAGCTGGAGGAAGAAAGGTGAGAGAATCGGTTGCACAGTGCGTGCAGATCAACCCAACCATTTGGTTGTTTTAATTTTACTTCGCACAGTCAAACGGGATGACCACCCAATAAAATTTCCGAACGTGACATTTTTGTAATTTATTGATTTTCCCGCATTATACCACAGTTTATTGTTCAGGTTATTTCGCTTCAACTTTTGAGGTATGAATTCCTTAACTGCAGACTCGACATGCAAGCTCCATACTCACCAGGCTGTGTCAACATCAGGTCACGGCTTTTTTGACTTTGTCCGTTAGGCTGTGTTTGCATAGATATTCTGATGGCGTCAAAGACAGTTAGAGATTTTGTTGGTCGTGTGTCGGGGGTATTGTCCCCGCCGAAACTGAATGCAAGTTTAAGAAAGACTAGGTCTAGTGAGTTATGATCAGAAGTGTCCTGTGGGTCTAGCCCTCAACCCCTCTGCGGCAAGCAGTAAACTATATTTACACCAAAAAGCGCAAAAGAAGACTTGATTTTTTACGCGGCTCTTTTCACCATGATAATTATTGTACACGTTTGAAAATTTGAAATACTCATGGCAACTGGTGGGTGAATCATTCAAAAATGCAAACGTGCCCGCTGTTGAGTGCAGCCATGTGAATCCACACAGTCACTTTTCTCGTAAATCACTCGCCGTAAAACGTGCAAGTGGCTGTCGTGTGAATCGCCTATAACTGACTGTCTGCAGTTGTCGAAGTATTTCCCTGCACTCACTGTACTTTGTTAGAGATGTTCCGCATAACGTAATTACGTTAGTTAAAAAATGTAGTCGATCTACGGAAAGTCTTACGTAAACTGCATGCGCATCTGGGTTCCGCCATACGGAGTTTTCAAATCATAGCAGACTCAGCGGAGGACGTTCAGGTTGGTTGTAACTCTTGAGTTTCATGCCGTTAGGCAAACATCAGACAACTGATACTCGGGTCTACCCAACAGTGAGTCAGTATGCTTATAAATACATAGGGCCACAAGCATAAACAAATTTAGCGCTAAATCTGGTGTAAGGTATGGGGAGAACAGCTGGTGCGGGCCACGGCGCGACAGTAGAAGTGCCAGGAGGGTGGCAGGCAACAGGCAGGTGTGAGCATGAAAGCGCAGAAAGAGGCGATGGGGAGGCAGTGTACAGCAGATGGGTGGAGGTGCCAAGAGGATGGCGGGCAATGGGCCAGTGAGATCGCTAGGGGGTCTTTGGGTGATGGGCAGGCGTGGGCGTACTATTGACATCATGGATGTGTCCTCACAACAAGGCTCCACCACGAGCATGCCAAACTTTACAAAGTAAGCCTTTCAGTGCAAGTCTTGGTGGCATGGTGTCTTTTGGGTGTTTTCTTAGGTTCCAAGAGACGTGGAGCTACATTGTGTGTGTGTGTGTGTGTGTGTTTGTGTGTGTGTACGCGTGCGTGTGTGTGTGTGTGTGTGTGTGTGTGTGTGTGCGTGTGCGTGCGTGTGTGTGTGTGTGTGTGTGTGTTTGGTACACGCCATGTACTCTTTTGTGCAGATACTACACGAATGCGAAACGCGACAAACTCTACAACGTCATTAGCCTGGAGTTCACCAAGACTAAGTTGGAGCCTCAAGTGGAGTCACCCAGTCTGGTACGTCAGCAATCCTACATACACTTGAGAGAATCAAAAGCGTTTCTGCTGTAACTCTGAGTTTCACGGTTTTAACCGATCATCAGACAGCAACTTGGACTACAATTTTCAGAAAATATGATTGATATAAGCTGCAATCAATCAATCCTATGCATGTAACGTTATATGTAGTACACTCTTATCTGTTGTATCCGGGCGGTCCGGGACCGAGGGCTCTGCCCTTCATTTGGAAATGTTCGTAATCACGTATATCTTGATGTGGAAGGCACGTAGATCTGGCATATTACGTCACTTCTGGCATTTCCACAAATTGGTAGTAAAGTAGTAATATATCCACTAGAACTCACTCACAGGGTTCCCCGTAGACCAAGATGCCCGTAACTTGGAGGTCCGGATAGGAGTCGTGAGAAATGAGTGCACTGTAGTTGAGCACTCCACTGCACTACTGTCTCCCCTGTATGCCGTGTTGGGGGGTTCGGTGGGCGTTTGAGGCTCATGTCATACATGATCATGCTTAGGCTCGTTTTGAGAAAGTATGGATTTTTAACTCCTGATTGGTTTGTGCAATGTGTTTATATTGGTTTATCAATGCCCCATCACAAGCTGTATTATGTATTCGCAACCGTGTACAAATTGCTCATTTGTCTTTTCTTCTTCCTACTGCTTGCTTGCTGCGGCTGCTGTTGCTGTTGTTGTTGTTGTTGCTGCACACAGGTACGTCATATGGATGGAGTGGACTTGGTGTGGCCGGAAACATTGCGCGCTTTGCAGCAGGAGGCCACCAACCGACTGGTCGACATGAAATATCCCAAAGTGCAAAAGTATGTGTTTTGTTTGTTCTTGTTGATGGTGCTGCTGCTGCCGCCGGTGTTGCTGTTACTGGCCGACTGCTGGTGCTGTTGATAGTACTACAGGTGTAGCTGCCCTATTGCTGGTGCTTGTGGTGCTGCTGCTGTTGTTGGCTTACTGATTGTGCTGCTGTTGCTGTTGCTGGCTGCCCTACTGCTGGTGCCGGTTGTGCTGGCGCTGCTGTTGCTGGTCTACTGTTGTTGTTGGCTTACTGATTGTGTTGCTGTTGCTGTTGCTGGTCTACTGCTCTTACTTGTGCTGTTGCTGTTGCTGGCTTACTGATGGAGCTGCTGTTATTGTTGCTGGCTTACTGATGGAGCTGCTGTTGTTGTTGCTGGTCTACTGCTGTTGCTTGTGGTGATGCCGTGCTGTCACAGGTACTGCCTGATGAGCGTCGGTGGCTGCTACACAGATTTCCGTATCGACTTTGGTGGCACATCCGTCTGGTATCACATTCTCAAGGGTGGAAAGGTCAGCATTCCCTGTCTGTTTGTCTGTTTTTGTGTCACACACATGTACACAGTATATAGATGGACGATGGGTGTAGATACAGACATACATCTGTCTGTCTGTCTGTATGTCTGTTTATCTGTCTGTCTGTTTACCTGGCTGTCTGTCTGTTTATCTGTTTGTCTGTCTGTCTGTTTATCTGTCTGTCTGTCTGTCTGTTTATCTGTCTGTCTGTCTGTCTTTCTGTCTGTTTCTCTACCCATCATCCATCCGTACTTGTATGTATATTTACCTCTCTGTCCATCCTTCTGACTGACAAGCTCCTTATAATCACGAATGTGTCTTGTAGAAGAACCTTGGAAGGAAGTGGAATGAGAAGAAGAAAGCTGGCATTGGCTTAAGTGTACAGCATTTCACTGATTAGAAGTCGCACTTGATGATAAGTCGCAACAGGTCTGAGCCAAGTTGTTTCTATACAGTACATTCACATATTACGTAGGAAGAAGTCACGCTCGATTGTAAGTCACACCACCTTCTTTAGGGTCGTCCGTAATTTTCGAAAAATTAAAAAATCCGTCCTCATGCAAATTTGTCTCTGACCCACCCACCCACCCCCATTTTTTCCCGTTAAGTTTTTGATGTTTACCAATGCCCAGCTCGAAAATAATAACTCCTGACCCCATGTTTTCTGACTGCACCTACATTGTATGTCAAGTACTAGTAGCTAAGTACAGTGAGTAGTAGGTCAACCGACGGCCATGCACGTCCTACAACTACATGAAAAATCTGAAAAGTCATGTATATTAGATACTGGTGTTTGCCGGACAATCGATCCTACACTACGTCTACAGCAGGGAGTCGTAAATACCGGTATTTTACGACTCCCTGGTCTACAGTACACGGCTGTTCTGAGTGCGACATTTATCAATATGGCGGCGTACCGTAGCAACCAGCATCGCAACAGCTCGCGTACGCACAGCGTGCCGACGCGTGCAGTCTTTCTGCACATTTTTCAAATTTATCGAAGAAAGTTTTTTGTTTTTGGGGCGATGGATTCGTGCCTTGGAGAGGTCGTATGAGGCCATGCTGGAGGAGAATAAGTCTACCACCAAGACCTGGAAGCCTCCCTTCGGCGAAGTACTGAAGTTAGTATGTCCTGGAGTCAATACAGTCAATACAGGAATTGTTTTCAAGACGATGCAGTGTAATAAATTCTAGTAATGTAGTGCATCATGGAATTCGGTGTGTTTGAAACTTCGGAACAAGAAGGGGGCACGTTTGCTTGACTCACTACCATCATGACGTGAACAGATGGAACCCCACTGCTCTTATTCTAGAACATGTTCTCCCCTGAGGACAGCTTACAGCCAGATTTCCGTGCATAAGAAAAGAGCGCAAATAAATCGTTAGACTGATTGCAATTCATCTTGGAGAAGGATAGAATTCGATCGTCTGCTACTCTCTCAACGCAAAGTTGATGACATAGCAGCTACATGTACGTCTCTTCATGCGTGTGCTCTTCACCTTGGGATCAATGAGGATATTAGGATTGCTGGAAATCAGATTCTGTATACTATTGGTCAGCAGTTTCTGCATTGCACATGCTCCACAGTGCTCATCGGCAAGGATGTTGAATTTGCATGTAACCCTTCACCACCCTACTCTCCATACTATTCCAGATCAGCACTAACTGAACATTGAAGTGTTTCATTTCCAGTAGAATGTGCTCCTCCAATAAGTGCGGCATTGGAGGCGGTGATATTTATTGCCACAGTTGCACTGCTGATCTTCGTTATGAAAGTAGCAATGGATGATGATCAAGTCAACCAGTGGGCTTGCAGTGATAAGCAAAGTACCACAATACATCATCAAGTGTCATAGCATGGCGGAGTTGGTTGCCCGCAACGCTTCCATGTTGGTCTTGTTAGTGTACAAATAGAGGATATCTTCTAGTCTCCAACTTTTAAAGCACATGGACCTGCTATAGGTGTTATTCTTCTATCAATGCTTGTTTCAAGTCACAGAATTATTTAGCTTCTTACAGCTTTGATTTAATTCGCCGTATTGTAATTAATGTGAAGAAGAGGTTGATGCGACTCCGGCGATACTTGGGGAATTGTGTGTTGCTCCCTACGTGGGAGCTTGCGCTATTCCTGCCGACTTGAATTCTCACTTGACCGACTTGTTATTTTAAAATGAATCCATGGACATCTGTCAATTCAGCAGGTGAACTGCATTGCCATCAAAGTAGGAAGCGACGAGCGGGTTCTGGGCCAGGGGGCGCCCGGGTCCCAAAAAATGGGGTATTATTGAAAAATGGGGTACTAATAGTACCCCATTTTTGCGGTGAAAATTATTTTTGGCCCGGTTTTTTTGCGGATAAAAATATGTGCCAGGGGGTGCCCCTACCTCAAAAAAATGGGGTATTATTGAAAATATGTGTTGTGCACATGTGGGTTTGAATCTCACTTTTTTGGGCCACCTTGCCCCGGATGGGAGTGGGTATAAAAAGTAGAATGTTGAATATGGTGTTTATCATGAAGTTTTTTCCGTGACCTACCCCACCTCCCCATGCAATTTTTCAAAAATGGTCCTGCTCGCACACACGTCAGAAAGGTCAGTTCTTGATAGATACGATACATGTCATTACAAAGAATAATGGAACGAACAGTGAATATCGCAATGGAGTGGAGGAGAAAGGTAGTACAATTCAGTTCTTGTTGTCCTGATTTCATCAAGCTGGTATTGGATGAGAGACCACAAAGTTTACTCTTCGAATACGTGTGAGGATGGATTCACCCATGATCTCTTCCGTGACACGCAGTACGAGGTGGAGTTGTCGGACGCTCTGATGTGCACCAATGGTTCCACCCAGTCAGCAATGGAACTGTCAGTCGACGACCTCCTTTGCACCGCCATCGTGTCAACAGTCGACTCGGGTAATTTGGAGATGAATCCATCGTCGCCGATGTCGATCGTACCAACTCGCACACGAATCCGCGTTACTCTTGTTGCAACGGCACGGAGTTGAACGGCCTTGGTACTACGTCGTACACGCACACGATCAACTCGAGAGACTTCATTTTTCGTTCACCTCCTTGACAAGTTGCATTACGTCGCTGGAATCCAAATAGGTTGCATCAGCGAAGAGGTCGATGATGTGTTGAGAGCACGGTTCGTCACGCATGTCACTAAGCTTGTAGAATGAGTGTCTACCATCAGTCCACCTTCGCAGTATGACACCATCATCAGTCTCACTAATAGTTCCGTAGTCCTCCACACCACCGATGACGATTTTAGGAAGGTGCTGTTTCCTATTCTTCACATTCAAGATCAGACTGGTGACCCTGCAGATAATATACTCAGCAGCAGTGAGTGGTGACATATCGAATCTTCTGGGATGTGCTATCATCGGGTCAAGATCCCTGGTTGTCTTGCTAGCACTGAGGCGACGGATTGAGAACTCTTCATTATCGCATGAAAATAAATACCATTTCTCTGCTCTGCACGTCTCAGAAAATGTCCACGCCATTTTAGCTTCTTCACACTGCAAGAAGGAGTCGATAATGAAACTGCAGGTTGAGACTACTTCACCTCGAGGTCAAAGTTCACGCCGCGATGACCTTTGTAAACAAGGCTACGTCTAGACGTCTCAAACAAGACCAAGGGGTCACGCCACGGGGAGGTGACGACCTTGGAGAACACGATGTGTTTCGAAAGCGGAAAGACGCCCCCGTCATGGTGAGTCTTTTTTGTTCGGGTTTGGAATCTTTCGACTATGATATCAGATTGAGATGTGAATGCCTTTCTTCTATTGAAAGGTCGATGAGACGGAGGATTTTTCTAGCTTTCTGCTCATATAATTCTTACTCTCATAGTACTTGATTTTCATATATTTTCAGGGGTGGAAATACGTAAGGCACACGGACCATGGATGCGCACATCATGGAGTGTGCATTGACGTCACAGTGGATTGTAGGATGCATCATGTACCACACAAACACACACACACACATGCACATAATATACATACACTGTGCAATGACATCACAGCGAACTGCACGATCGGTGGATGCTATACATATACGGAATTCCGTGGTCTCTTCTCATACAGAGATGGTAGAGAGGAATTCAAAAGGAATCTTGGAAAGAGGACTCAACTGTCAATAGAGCGATATTCCCCGCTCGGAGCACGAATATTCCCCGGGTCTTGCGACAGAGTAAATAAGGGAGATGTTAGTGCTGATCACGCTCTATTTGGGATAGTACATGGGATAAATGGATTATACCATTCGTACTCTGTGCATACCGTACCCATTATATTTTCAATCGTGCTGACACACTCATGAAAATATCTAGCGGTGTACCCCTCGTACCAAGAGTACATGTACTCTTGCTCGTACTCGTGGGATAATCGATACATGTCTTAGTGCTGATCGCGCTCTATTTGGAATAGTACATGGGATAACTGGATTATACCATTCGTACTCTGTACATACCGTATCCCTTATATTTTTCGTCGTGCTAACGCACTCGTGAAAGTGTCCAGCAGTATACCCCTCATACTCATGCGATAATTCTCATGAACGCCATCAGCTTGTACATAGCACTCAATCATTTATTTTTTATTTTTCAATATGAATGACATTGTGAATCATGACCGAAGACTGTTCACATCCTTCTTTGTGAGCCAGGTATTGAATTTATTATCTGTGTAGCCTTTCCATTGCACAAGACGTTGATCCTTGTTGTATTTTAACACCTTGTCGAATCTCAAACCGGTCTCTCTGGCGTGTTGCAGTTCTGCTTCGTAAAACGATCCGATGATGTGTTCTCCCATCAGATCACGAATCCTGTAGGTGTGTGGTGATGTTGATAGGATTTCATCCACCTCGAATACTTCCTCCGTCCAGTTCGCAGTGTAGCCCTTCTCGAAATGACGCTTAGATACGGTTAGGCGCACCTCGTCACCCACTTTGAACTTGGGTTTTGACTGCAGGGGGTCTTGTTGATCTGCATCT